TTCAGTGCTGCCTGGAGCTGGGCCCTCCTGCTACATCACAGGTAAGTTGGGACCTGAAAATGCCTGTGATCTGCTGTAAAAGCTGCATTTCCTCCAAGTCATTTTGTTATAGCAAAGCCATTTTCTGTCCATGCCAGTACTTGGCTGCTGGAAGGAAGGGCAGCAATTGAGAGGAGGAGGCAGGGTACTCACCAAAATCATTGGCACAGAGGTTTTCCAGGATCTCTCTGGCAGTGCTGGCCTCCTCAAGCTCGCAGTCCTTGCAGCTGGCTCGGGGCACTGCTGCAACAGAAATTTGGTTCTAACACCCTTGTCAGGCTTCACTGGTGTGATAGTTCCACTGGGCTGGCCCTTGGCTGACAGCCAGCACAGCCCACTTCCCCATTACCCCCAGGGGACAGGGGAGAGGACTGGGGGCAAGGGTAAGGAGAGTCATGGTTTGAGATAAGAACAATTTAATAGCAGAAATAAAAGAAAACTTAAAATAATACTAATATTAAAACTGGAGTGATAATGATAACTAACAAAATATGCAAATAAGTGCATATAACTGACACACAGTGCAACTGCTCACCACCCGCTGACCAAGCCCAGCCTGTTCCCAGATAACGATCCCGGAGGAGCGACAATCCCAAAGCGAAACTGCAATCCCTGGAGAGCCAGAGCCCAAGCGAAAGCCAGAGAGAGCAAGAGAGGAAGAGCCCCTCACTAATATACTGACTATAGTGGGATATGAGATGGAATATTCCATTGGCATATCCAAATGCCAGTTTAGCTTATTAATTTAAATATTCCTCACCCCCTTAGATCTTGCACTTGTGGACTAACAGAACATGAAGCCCTTCACTTCCAGCGACAAAAATGCAAACACTGGGATGTTATCAGTGACTCTTTCATTACAAATCCCAGGCTAAAAGCAAAACACAGCACTATCCGAACTGCTAAACAGAAACCCAGCTCTGTCCCAGCTAAAAGCCAGGACAACTGGAAAAGGCATAATGCAGGTTTGAGATCTGTGATAGTGGCTTGCTGTTTCCAAGTGGTGCTTCCTCCCGAGCTACCCAGTCCCTGGAGTGACAGCTTAGGCTACCAGGGTGGGAAATGGGACGCTCTCCTTTCTGTGGCTGGGGCAGACACTGCATGTCGTGCTTTGTTTAGGTGTGTGTGTGTTGCTGTATGTTAAAGCACCAGTGAATATGCTTAATGAAGATCTAATTTGGATGAAACAGTAAAGCCATTAGTATGGCCAGACTCCATCCAGTGATGCTGAAATGAGGCATCTGTTCTCCCCTTAACTGCTCTCAATTCTCCCCCAATGTTCATCAGTAACTGGGTGTTTCAGTCTTCCAGTCTTAAAGATTTTTTTTTCTTGTGTAACTCATGTCTGCACAGGCTTATACCCCTTTGTGGTGTTTCCTAATGTTTAAAGAGAAGGCTTGCAAAAGATTTCTTTTTGTATGTTTATTTAAACCCTGGACACAGCTGGAAGATCAGGGCTGCAGCTCCTTGGCTCTGCTGGAAGCACATCTCGCTGCCTGGAGCCTGCACTCAAGCTGTGTCTGAGCGTTAGGCTTTTACAGCAATTTTTTTCCCCTGCCCCAAACCTTGTATGGTCTGATGGCACCCGGGGAGCTCATGAATACAGCAGAGAGGGGAACAAGCTGCAGTCAACTTCACGCTAATTTTCTAGACACAGTGGAATTTCCAGAGAGAACAAAACTGAGTTTTCTATTTTTTTTTTTTAAATATAGCTTAAAACCAGAAGCAATAGGAACACGAAGAAGGCATAGGCTTTTTGAGCTTTCAGTGTTGCATATAGGAAAACTTATGAGGAAAAATAAAAAGACCTTACTTCTCCTGCTTGAGGAGTTTTCGTCGGTGGAGACTGCTGCGATGCACAGTTCATGATCTGCAGGAAACTTGTTGCAGTTCAGGATTTCGGGCCAGGGGTAGCCATAACAAGCCATGACGGGTGCACAGCTTCTCTTGACAGCTTCGCACAGGCTGCGGCAGGGGTAGATGAGCCTGGGGAGGGGACGGGGATTGCAGCACCTCTGGACTCCTGGCAGCAGGCTGAGGGTCGAGCCCTGGCACTGCACCGCTGCCACACGGGGCTGTGTGGCACACTGGAGTGCTAGCAGAGCTGGTTTGGGGTCTCTGATGTCTTTTGAACATTCATGCCCAGGCAGTAAGCAGTGACTTTCTGAGGATGGGAGGGATGAGGTTGTTCGATACGGGCTGCTGCCAGAAGCCCTTCCCCGCCCCAGGATCTTCTCTAGTCGTGCTAAGGCTGTTTGCCTTTGCAGGTGCCTAATTAAGATACCCAATTTCCTTAGCAGCTCTGTCCTCTGACAGCTGCACCTCAAAATGATTTCATGAACATAATGTTTCTGCTCCTGCTCATGTTTCACTTTCAGAGGGAAGGTCCCTGCTGGGTAATCCAATTGCCCCTTGCCGAGAGAGGCAGCAGGGCTTCGCAGGGACCGCGCTGATCACCTCGCACACGCTTTCTCTTGGGAAGCAAATGCAGTTGTGCTCTCTGGGAGTGTTACTTGCTACAGCTGAAATAATTTATAAAAACATCTTACCTGTCCAAGCAGATGGGTGCAAAGAGGGAGCAGAGGAAGATCCTAGCATCTGGGTGGCACTCCCTGGCCAGCAAGGGCAGCCAGCTGGAAGACTGCTGGATCACTTCTGGCATGGTCTCGTGCTCCAGCAGGTTGGGAATCCTCATCTCGGAGTAGCCGATGTCGTAGCACAAGGCCATGCGGTGTGGAATGGGTGTGCAGCTGGAGGATCTCCTCAGGTAGCTCGCCCAGGCTCCTGGAGAGCCCCAGAGCAGCAGGCGTGCCAGGAGACCCAGCAGCCATGGGCCACCCACCCTGGAGGGGTGCCTGCGGTGGGCCGTGACCATGCTCGGAGCGAGCTGGGAGCAGGAACGGGCAGCACACCCTGGACTGAGCTGCTCCTGACTGTGGAATGCCTTTTATAGCCTATGAGCCACCTCTCTGTCAATCCATCCTCATTAAGTGCGGCCCTTTCAGAGCCCTCATGGGGAAGACAATGCTCCAATTTTCGTTTGCCAGCGGCCCTGATTGTTTGGATTTTAGCAGGGGTTTGGCTTAGATCAGCAGGTGTGGAAATTAGGGCAGTTGGGGAGGGATGAATGACTTGGCCCGTGTGTCTTGGGGCTCTTTCAGCTGAGATTGAATCTCTGTTTGACACCAATGCTCCAACCCATCCCCTTTCTCTTGGTCCAGGATTAGTCATTATTTCATAAACCCCAATGTTTTCCTCTCTTTTGTTTTTTCTAAAGGCAATCAAGTGTTGCTCAAAGTCAATTAGGAGGCATTTGTTTAGCTGGATCTATTGTTGAGCAGGCAGAGAGATAGGATGGTCTCGCAGCCAGAAGTTAACCGTTTTGGAGGGCAGAGGAACTAATTTGCAGCTGTAAATCCAGGTTGTTTGCAGACGGGATTGGCAGCAGCTTGGCTGGAACCCCCTCACCTTGCAACCTGACAGAGCGTGCTTTCCAGTTAACAGAATCTTCACTTCATTACGAAATCCCATTACTACTGCTGAAGAGCGGGATTGTCCTTCCTCCAGCACGTAATTAAGATTCCAGAAGCCGTTATTATTGCAGCCCAGTTTGGGGAACTGGAAACACCGCGGGCGTTGCTTGCCAGCGCGCAGGGCTCACTCGGACCTGGTGCCGTGCCATGAGGTTCAAACCGGCCAGCGGAAGCTCCGGCTTTGAAGCATCATCTGGCACAGAGACCCCGCGCTGCCTGTGGCGGAAATTGTCTCCTCGGAGGGTGTTACAGATACAGCCGGCTGCATTGTGTTCCTGGGGCTTCCCAGGAACATCTCATTTTCTGCAGGGCTAGTTCTGGTCTGTACTTCGCAAGAAGCCAACTGCTTATTGACAGTTTGAGCTGATAGGGTTGATTTAAGGTCATGGAAGTAATTAACTTTTTTTTTCCACCCCTTTGAGGGTTGCTGCTATAGTGGAGATACAACATGTCTTTGGCCTGCACTTGCAGGAGCTCTAAGGGGCTGTGATTTGGAGAGCAGGACCTTGGGCCTAGGAGCACTTAAACCTGTCCTGCTTTGGTGGTTTTTTCTTTCTCTCTTCAAAAAACTCAGCAGCTGGTAACAAGATCCCCATAGTGGTGACAGTCATCAGCCAGAAGAATCTTCTCAACCTGCTGGGCCACAGTGTAGCTGGGCTGTGGAACAGGACCTTGCCGGTGCTTTGCAAGTGCGTGCCCACCCCACCATGCAGCTAGAAATGTCTCGGGCTCCTCCTCACTGGTGGATTTCCCTGCATTTAAATTTGCTTGGGATTCTGGTATTACCTGATTGCTGCTGATGTGCTGCAAAGGAAAGCTGGTGATATTGGGATTGCTGCCTGGGTACGGAGTGTGGCATCCACCATGTGTGGTGTCTTCCCCTGTAATAATTAATTTGAAGACTGTTTTTAGTGGGGGATCAAGGGAATGAGTGGGGATACGTTTGGCAGTTGTCTCCTTGCTGTTTGAGTTTCACAGTAGAGCACTGTGCCTGGTTCCCTTGAAAGGTGTTTGGTTTTGTACAAAGTGCTGTCCCCTCCGCTGAGAGCAAGGAAGCCTGAAACCCCTTCCAGCACCGCTGCCCATTGAAAAGGTTTTGACCTGCCTTCCTGCAGAGCAGCAGTTCCCAGACTGTGATCCACATGTCACCTTTGAAGTGATAATATATGGTGATATGCACGTGTTTGTTCACTCCTTTGTCCATTGTTGTATCTGCGAGAGAGTTTAAGGGCTTGACCCCTGGATCCAAACATTCAGGAACTGCTGCTGTAAAAATACCTGCCTCCAGCAGCTCAGGTGTGTGGTATTTGCTGTTTGAGAGGTGTTTTGGTAGAAGGCTGGATGTGTTTGAATGTCCCAAACTTAGGCAGTTTCTAAATTGCCCCTCCACCTCTTTTTTTTCCCCCTTCTGAGTGGCCTGCCATCAGGATGGGATCCCACTGTAACAGTTCCTCACTCTCTGTTGCTGCTCACACTTTTGCTGCAGAAATTCCCGACTTCCTGACAGAGGAGGAGTGCAAGCTCATTGTCCATCTGGCACAGCTGAAGGGACTGCAGAAGAGCCAGATCCTCCCAACGGATGACTATGAGGAAGCCATGGAAATGATAGAAATCAGCCAGATGGACATTTTCAATCTGCTGGACCACAATCAGGATGGGCAGCTGCAGCTCAAAGAGGTAGAGTGTGGGACAAACCAGGGGAGGTTTGCTGGGGGACCCTCTGGCTGGTCCCCTCCTCAGATGGTCTCTCGATTACTCATGTGCTCGCGTAGGGCCAGACCCCAGTATATACCGATCAGTATTTGCTTAATTTTATGTCTCGGGACTTGTGCTGGCCTTCAGCGTGGAGGTTTCTGGGGAAATGTGCAGCAGTTGTCACGCTGTTGGGAGGTAGCAGTGGTCCTTGTCAGGAGATGTGTTTGGTGAACATGCTGGGTAAAATCTTCCTGGTGCTGTGGGTTTCTTCTAGCTGGGTGTCCCAGGGGAGTGAGTTTGTAGCATAGACACTGCTTTGTGCAGCCTGTGGGGACTGACTGAACTCAATTGACCAGACATCAGCAAAGCCACCCCTGTTAATGACCCTGGAGAGGGATAACGACCACCTTGTCTGCAGCTCTTCAGCACCCTTGCCCTGTATGGCAGGGTGCATCAGGGCAGGCACTGGCAGTTGAGGGATGTCCCTCCCCAGGCTCCCGTTTCAGGTGGGGCTGGGGATGTGTACTGTCCTGCAGGCTGCAAGTGTTGTGGAGTCTGGGGAGCTGCGCCAGTGACAAGCCAGGGCAAGGCTCCTTTCTCTGGAGGTCAGAGCCTGTGGAGAGCTCTCCAGGATCCTGCATCTCTTTGTCCAAGTGGAGAGGAAGTGTTTTGTTCCAGGCCCTTATCTTGGACAAGTAAAAGCATTCGCTTTTCTCATTGGTAGCTTTGCTTTCCCTTCAGGAGAAAGAGCTGTGCCCCCTCCATCTCATGACTGGTTAATCGAGTCGCAGCAGTCATTTGCCATGACCTAAACTGGAAAGAACAGCACTCATCAGCCACACACTGTGTGTGGCTGCCAGATGGTTCTCACTGCAATCTTCTTTCTGCAGAGACGTGCTGACGCCTGGCTGGCCGATGCTCTGCAGGGGAGAGCCCACCAGGCCTTGAGCAGGGAATCTGTAGGGTTTGGTTAGTACAAGAAACCAGTGCCTGGTGTTGATCCATTTATGAATTTCAGGTGTTGACCCACACCCGGCTTGGGAACGGCAGGTGGATGACCCCCGAAAACATCCGTGAGATGTACACTGCGGTCAAGGCTGATCCTGATGGGAATGGTAAGAGCAGCTCCACAGCAATCCCTTCACCCTCAACATGCTGGATGCCTTGCACAGCCACGCTGAACAGAGCAAGAGCCATGTCCCTACCAGTCCTGTTTCTCTAGCTGTGTTCTTCAAAGGAAAATAACGCTGCTTTAGAGACCTTTGCAGAAAAGTACAATCAGTGTAAACCTCTCATCGCAGCACTCCAGCCCCTTCATCCCTGTCTAGCAGCAGACTAGTTCCACCACCTGTTCTTGGAGCTTGCAGAAGCAGGAGCAGAACACAACTCTGCACTCCCTCTCCCCTGTCAGAACTGCTTTGGTTCATGCCCAGCTCTAACAGGACCTTCAGGGTCTGCTTCTGCTCCCATGGTCTGAGAGACCACTCTGGCTTTGACTACGTATCTCTTGTTACCTGGGCTGCAGGTTTTAAGGTGCTCCCTCCACTCTCCACTCCCCCTGTTTTCTGGGAGACTTCTGCAGTGGGCTGGGAGCACCACATCACTGGCAGGGGAGAGCAGAGTAAGTGGAGGTGAGGGTAGTCTTGCTGGTTAGCCTTTGTTGCTGACCCCTCTGCTGCAAACTGTCTGTATTCCACCAGGCCACTTCTGCCCCTCCTGCCCCTGGTCTCCCAAGGGCTCCCGCAGGTCCGGATGTGTGCTCTAACCTCTGCTGCTCTAATTAGAGTGGCCTCAATTAAGCAACTCTCCATTTCCTAATCAAATTAAGTGAATGCACAGGCTCTGCACGCTCTCTCCCAGTGACCTGGCATGGAGAGCTGCCCAGGAGGAGCTGCTTTGGAGTTGAAGCAGCACCCATGTGAATGCCTGAATATCCGGAGGGCACCCCATGTCCCACTCCTCCGGGCTGGTGGCATTCTTGGCTGGGGTAGGAGCGTATGACTGAGTAGTCAGTGGCTTTTCCACTGTTCTGGACACTGACAAATGAAAGGTCCTTTTAAAGTGCTCTTGGCAGGACATTGCTTCCAAAGAGCTGCTTCCCTTGTTGTTAGATTGGTGCGTGACACCGAGAGAGCAGGTCACAAGCTGGATGTGGTACTGCGTCATCACAGACCGCATGGAGTGAGGGGAAGTGGGGACAAGGAGACACTAGAAATATTAACGATGGGTAATTTGGTTGTGACCAGTGGCACCTGAGGAGCTGTCCCAGGCTGACCCTGGTGGCTGGTCCTTCCTTCTGCTGGAGGGTGCTGTGTGCCCAGGGAGCAGAGTGGGCACCACCACAGCACTGGGTTTGCTGCCTGAGCGGGTGCTGCTGCTGGGCAGCACACTGCAGCACCTGGTCCCTGGTGCAGGGCTTCCTTCTTCTTCAGAAAGGGGAAACAACAAATGTGAGGATTTTTCTGAAGGTGACAAAGGCAGAAGTCCCTCCCTTGCTTAGTCTAGCTGAGTGTGAACACAAAACACCTGTTTTAGTAGAAAGCACTTTTTACCTCTCACCTGTCTGTTATTTCTCCTCATGCAAGACCATATTCTGTTGTATTTCTCACTCATGTTTTGCAGTTACACAAATGCAGAAGAATGTGCTGCTTCTTTTGGGTTTGGCTTTTTTAAATTACCGTGCAAGGTCTTGTAGAAGATGTGGTCTGAGGTGTCCCACTCTGCTCTGAAATGTCTTCTGTCTAAATATCTGAGTAACAAGCCCCAAGGCATCAGGTGGTGCAGGCTTTTTAGCTGTGGCATTGCACATGTTAGAACTGCAGTGGCTATTTCTCTCTTTTGATGGATTGGTTTGTGTGTTTTAGGAGGTTTTTAAAGTTCAAAATGGTACTTTGCCTGTCCCAGTTCTGACCCTGAAGAGCATCTAATGGTTCACTTTTCCAGGCTGCTGTCTGCCCTCTACTCAGCTAAAGGGGAGAGCGTTGCTGGTGCCTGTAACCCTGCAGATGCGGGGTGCAGCCTGAGGTGGGCACGGTGGTGGAACCTGAATGGGGTTTGTTTGAGGGAGGCAGTTTCTCGCTGCCCCTCAGCTGGTGGTTTCTCCCAGTACAGGATGCCAAGACCTGTTACCCATACCAGTCAGCCAGCGTTTCCTCTCTTCCCATAGGTGTGCTGAGTTTGGAGGAGTTCAAACAACTGAATATCCGTGATTTCCACAAGTATATGGGAAGCCAGAAAGTGAAGATGAGTGACTTGGTGCGCAACAGCCAGCACACCTGGCTGTACCAGGGCGAGGGGGCACACCAGGTCATGAGAGCCATAAGGCAAAGGTAAGGGCTGGGCAGCCCAGGGGTTGGGTTTGTGTAGGGATGAGGACTACCTGTGCTGGGAGATGCAGTAGCAGACTTGCTAATATTCACAATTCCCAATTGCATGAAAGTCTTTGGAGTATAAAGAGCAATGAACACAGACACGAAATGGGGAGAGGAGGTTTGCATTAGAAAAAGAATTTGTATTGTCCCGTGGAAAAGGAAAAAGAAAAATCAAACCTTTCAGCATCTCCATTCACTTTTGGGAACAGCCCTATAAAACCAAGAAGACTTGGCATTATATGAAATAATTCATTCTAATTAGTAAATGAGCTTACTAGGAGAAACTGCCTGTTTCCAATGCTGTCTGGGTGCCAGTAGTTACTGTCATTTGCTTTAGTTACTCATGCATTTCACTGAAATCTGTCTTAGCTCTTCAGAGCTGACTTTTTAACAAGCACGTTGACCTCAAGTAAGCCAAGTTAGTTTAATCCTCTGAGCACACGTATTGCAGGGCAGCTCACGGCAGATGGGAGAACCTCTTACCTTCCCTTTTGTCTCCGATTTGGTACTGGGAAGCACTGAAACCCAGCACACAGGCCAAATCGTTTAACTGTGGTGAGTTTCACATAACTGGCTGGAGACTCTCTTCTTCTTGTGGTGCTGGTCCTCACCCAGAACATGGGTGGGCAAAATCTGTCCCGAGGCTTGAAAAGGGCTGTTGGCCACTCCCTTTTCTTAGTGCATTCCAGCGGGAGAATGGGGCTGCATATTGCCTTGATTAATGCAGACTGGGGCTGCCACCTTCTCCGTGGCAGCTAGCCCGCGCACACAGGCGTTGGCCTGCTGCTTTTTCACTCTTCAGTTGGCTGCTGTGATGAGGACACGAAGACATAACACTGAGGAGGCTGTTACAGTCCTCCCTGGGACCATGCGGTGCCTGGAGGGGCTTTGCCATCCTGCCTGGGTGCTGTTTTCCCCTTGTGCCTGCCCCAAGGGCTTCACTGATCTGAATTCTCAGAGCTCTGAGTGTTCTTTGGCAGGTCTCCAGAGGTACCTGCTTGCCTTGGGGATGATCTCAGATGTAGCAGCGGAAAAATCCCAGAGCAGGAGGGCTCCGGTCTCCTTGATCACTTCCCGTGCCCCTCTGCCCTGGGGAGAGGCTGCTGAAAAGGCAACAGGGAAAGGTGAGTTAGGTGACAAGAATATTCCTAGAGCTAGTCTCTTGTTCACTCTTGGCAGGGGCCCTGCGCTTTGCTAACTGTCCCCGAGTCTGTAGGTGGTGTGCAGGAGTCCAGAGAAGTGATGAGATGGCACGTGAAGGCTCCAGGGACACACACAGAAAGGATCTTGCTGAGCAAGCAAAGTCTTCCTGAGAGCAGTCCTGCTGGAGATAAACCCTTCGGTTTTGGGGTGTTTTTATTAACCTTGACGAGAACTTCCTGAGCTGATGCTGATGGTCCAACAGATCTGTAAGGACCTAGCTATCTCTTGGCACGCTTGCTGCAGCCCATCTGTCTCTCCAGTCTGTTGGGGAAGGGGGTTACCTTTCTCTGGACTTATTCGGTGCTTGGGAGTAGCGGCCAACCAGGGTGATGGTGCTTTCCCCTGACCTGCTCTGCTCTCCTCTTCCCCAGGGTAATGCGCCTGACTCGCTTGCCCCCTGAGATTGTGGAGCACAGCGAGCCCCTCCAGGTTGTACGGTACGACCAAGGAGGGCACTACCATGCCCACATGGACAGTGGCCCTGTCTTCCCCGAGACTGCCTGCAGCCACACCAAGCTGGTCGCCAATGAGAGCGCTCCCTTTGAGACCTCCTGCCGGTAAGGTCTGCCTTGGCACAATCTGGGACATGCTAGAGAAGAGGTGTGGAGAGCTGTTCCACCTCCCCTCACGTGGGACAAGGTGCTCAGCTCGTGGACTCACAAAGTAGCTCTGGAAATTGTTGGCATGAAGGGGTCTGAGGAGGGAGGTGGGTGAATTCTGCAAGTCCACAGAGCCGGTGCAAGGAGGAGGGCAGAGTGGTTCTGCAGAATGGCTGGGCCATCCCCTCCAGAGGCTTGAAATGCACCTTCAGAGGCTAAATCCCCACCTGTTATGGATGGAGATTCTCTTTGTTGTCCTTGGAGAAAAGCTGATTATGTAAATCACGTATCTTGTGATGTCCACTGTACATGTGTTGGAGGGGCAGGGTGTAGGCATCTCCTCCTCTTCCAATTGTGTCCCCTAACAGCCACTCTGTCTTGCAGGTATGTGACAGTGCTGTTCTACCTGAACAATGTGACTGGGGGAGGTGAAACAGTCTTTCCTATAGCTGATAACAGGACATATGAAGAGATGGTAAATGAATCTCACCTGTATGTTACCCCTGGGGATTCTGAATCCCTCTTTGAATGTCTTTATTCACTGTGGCTGCAGAAGGGGTCTGGTGTACGAGGCTGGTGGACATTAGCCTTCATAGATAGAGCATGGGGAAGCTGTGTCCTTCTGAGGCCAAGGGAAGAAGATCAGGGCTTTGACAGCTGCACCTCTGTCTGCTCAGAGGAGTGAGGGGTGGTCTGTTGGCCTTGCTGCCATAACATGGGTCCTGCTCACTTCTGTCTGGGCAGGTTTCCTCAGACTAAGTCTTGGCAGGTGTGTTGTGCTCATGTCAGGCAACGTGTTGAGGAATGGGCAGCTGCTCAGAAACAGGTTGGGGACCTCCAGGGGCTAAAAGTGGCTGCTCCGGGTGGGTTGTGAAAGCTCTTGCGCTGTCCCTCTGGGGCGTTGAGGCAAAGGGCAGGATGACGGCTGGCAGCAGAGGCAGCCCAGAGCACGTGCTTCATTTCAGCCCCATTTGCAACACCTTCTCTGTGGTTTCTTACCAGTCTTTGATCCAGAACGACGTTGACCTGCGAGATACTCGGAAAAACTGTGACAAAGGCAATTTGCGAGTGAAACCTCAGCAAGGCACTGCTGTCTTCTGGTACAACTACCTGTCAGATGGAGAAGGTACAGTCCTGTTTCGAGACTCTGCTCTTGGGAGGGGTAGGACTGCGGGAGGTGACAGCCATCGTCTTCTTGCAGCGGCTGGGAGCTCAGAAGAGAGCCAAAGGGTGGTAGCTGCCTGCTAGTGGGAACTGTGGAGACTATTTGTCACCAGCTGGGTAGGAGCTTCCTGACTCTGAAAGGCCTTTGTTTACAGGCAGTAGGTCAGTGGCTCCTGATGTCTTCAGGGGATGGGACTAGCTAGCAAACAAAGACCTTGGCTGCACTAGCCATTGCCAGCTGCCTCCCATCCTGCTGTGTGAGCTGAAACTCCTGCTGGAACTTGGTCTGCAATTCAGAATGTTTCCCTGATGTGGTGTTGCCCAAAGGGGTGGGGAGGGGAGGTAGACAAAGGCACGGCCATCAGCTCTGCAGCACAGGGAGGCATGGCCCGCCCCGCGCAAGGCTCTGCCTGCTTGGGGCCAACTCCTGCTTTATAGCTCAGCCACAGCCTGATGATATGTGTCCTTGGGGCTGTTTTTCTCACAAAGTGCAGTGTGGTTTTCCCTGACAGCCAGGCTGGGGGATTGACATGAATCTTCCAGGCTGCTGGTGAGTATGGCTCCAGAGTGTTTCCATGGCAGATTTTGAGCAGTGGTGGGAGGGAGGAGTATAGCATCCCAGCTCCCTTGGGAGCAACCCGTGTTTCCATCTCTAGAAAATCCACAGAGGAGGTCATAAGACCAGTGTTTGGGCTGTTGGATGATAATATCAAGACCATCACTCTCCTGCAAGAGCCCTGTCGTGTTTTTATGAGCAAATTGTTCCTAAATGGAAGGCAGCTGCTGATGAATATCTGCCACAGAAAAACTATGGGACCTCTGTAAAGAGGGGATCATTTAGAGCTGCTGAAATGCGACGTTAGGTATGGCCACGAGCCTCAACTTCCACGGGCCTTCTAGCAGCAGCATCCATCTCTTGCATGCCAGCCTCCCCTTCTGGGAAGAGCTGAGAAAAACAGCAGCTGTGATTCAGTGTGAGAGCCCCGTGTGCTGAGTGGAGACATGGAGGCAACGAGTGTTTTGCACTGGGTGAGCCTGCCTGGCGAGCTCCTCGTAGGTGCTAGCGTGGGGTAGCACAAAGCCAAGAGGGGTGCCAGGGGGAGCCAGCTCCTGTGCGATGCACTGGAGCTCAAACACTGGTGTCAGCGTTCCCTGGCCCTGCCTCCCTGTGGGCGCTGCAGCACTCCCAGCCGCCTCCTAACAGGGCTTTGCTCCGCAGGCTGGGTGGGGGAGCTGGACGACTTTGCCCTGCACGGGGGCTGCCTGGTCACCCAGGGCACCAAGTGGATCGCCAACAACTGGATCAACGTGGACC